CAGTAAATTCTCTCCTTGATTGGTTTTCTGCAAATTTGCATCACATGTTCTTATTCTTAACATAGTTCAGACACTATTTGAAGTTTTAGCTGAAGTTTTTGGACTTCACTTTCAAACTATTTTCAGACTGCAAAGACTTTGTCTCCTTTGGAAAGCATTCATTTGAACTGTAAGTGATTTGTTCATTTAATTTTCTTCACTTTTTAAATAGTCATGTCGGTTTTTCTCCTTCAAACCTTTTTAAGGAAATATTTGTCAGGGTCAGTGGATTCCTTCAAACTGACTTCTGATTGACAGTCCAGAGAGTTCTCAAGTTTCTGCTTTTCTCTTTATCTAATTTCAAGTTGCCATCAACCATGTAATCTCTAGAGAAATCAGGCAAACATTGTCTTTAGTGCAGTTTCAGAGATTTTAATGGGCTCTCTTTACCACGGAAAGCCTCTTTCATTTGTGTTTTCAAGTTGTCAAGCATTTTTTCCTATTATTTATTTTCCACTCTTTTCCTCCATCTCACCCATAGCTTCTTGGGATAGCAGTTTTAGGCTTTCTTTAAAATAAGTGTTTTCAAACCATCCATGATTTCCCTTTGAAGTTGTTCTGTGTCCGTCTGAAATGCTTTTAATATGTTCTGAGACAGTCACTTGAGATTGAGGGATTTTGATGCAACTTTTAAATGACCTGGGTCTCCTGCATTGCAGGCAAATTCTATACCGTCTGAGCTACCAGGGAAGACCATTGAGCAGAGTTCCATTATATGTGGAATCTAAAAAGAAATGATACAAATGAACTTACAAAACAGGAAGAGACTCACAGACTTAGAGAAGGAACTTATGGTTGCTGGTGGGAGGGTTGGAGAGGGAAGGGTAGTTAGGGAGTTTGGGATGGACTCGTACCTTCAGCTGCTGAACAACTTTCTTGAGCTTTTTTTCTCATGGGAGACAATCCGGCTTTGATAAAAGGAAGTGCTTCTTTCCAGCTCTTTTTCAAGGCCATCCCTTCTAGGGATCATCCTTCTGATGTATATGACTAATATTTTTGTGCACTTTGGGACATTTCTTCTCAATTTATATGCAGTAAATTCTCTCCTTGATTGGTTTTCTGCAAATTTGCATCACATGTTCTTATTCTTAACATAGTTCAGACACTATTTGAAGTTTTAGCTGAAGTTTTTGGACTTCACTTTCAAACTATTTTCAGACTGCAAAGACTTTGTCTCCTTTGGAAAGCATTCATTTGAACTGTAAGTGATTTGTTCATTTAATTTTCTTCACTTTTTAAATAGTCATGTCGGTTTTTCTCCTTCAAACCTTTTTAAGGAAATATTTGTCAGGGTCAGTGGATTCCTTCAAACTGACTTCTGATTGACAGTCCAGAGAGTTCTCAAGTTTCTGCTTTTCTCTTTATCTAATTTCAAGTTGCCATCAACCATGTAATCTCTAGAGAAATCAGGCAAACATTGTCTTTAGTGCAGTTTCAGAGATTTTAATGGGCTCTCTTTACCACGGAAAGCCTCTTTCATTTGTGTTTTCAAGTTGTCAAGCATTTTTTCCTATTATTTATTTTCCACTCTTTTCCTCCATCTCACCCATAGCTTCTTGGGATAGCAGTTTTAGGCTTTCTTTAAAATAAGTGTTTTCAAACCATCCATGATTTCCCTTTGAAGTTGTTCTGTGTCCGTCTGAAATGCTTTTAATATGTTCTGAGACAGTCACTTGAGATTGAGGGATTTTGATGCAACTTTTAAATGACCTGGGTCTCCTGCATTGCAGGCAAATTCTATACCGTCTGAGCTACCAGGGAAGCCCTTAAGTGACTGTCCTTAAAATCAAGCCATGGAATGAGAGTTTAGGGGGCTCACTTTTGTTCTTTTGAGAGAAGTTCTACAATGTTCTCAAATGACGAGTGGACCTGTCCAGATATGTATAAGTACTACCAAACTCAGTGTTCGCAACTTCAGAGAACTGGAGGTGACTTGAGCACGTCATTGGTTTGTGCAATCAGTCTGGTCTTCTCACTGACTAACTTGAGCAAAAAATCTTTTGGCTAGCTTTTTTTTTCATCTTTACAGTATCAGAACCTCCTCAGGAAACCCATGGAGACTTGCACCTTATCTCAAAAATGAGAAAACAGCTTCTGAGGGCTGGTGCAGGGTGAGTGGACGAGGGAAGACCAGAACTGTCTAACTTTGCTCTGCTTACTGCACAAATAGTGATAATATCTGCCCAGTGCATTTGGATAAGTGGAAAACACTGATTGCAGCCAGAGTAGATCACCCATGAGCTCTGACCACTCTAATCTTAACCCAATTCTGCAGGAAACCTCTGAGATCAAAGCAGCTCCATGCCATTATGTATTCTCTACCCATGAGCTGGACAGGCATAATGGTAGGGCACACTGCAGTAGAAGACTCATGCCCACAGCCCAGGGTGAGGCTCATTCTCTTGAATTATAATTGCCTTCAACAGGGTGGAAGCCTAATCCTGGCTGCAAAGGTCACAGAGACCTCTCTCCCCTGGAGGCTTCTGGTTTGTGTTTGGTCAGTTCATGTCTGCAGGGGCAGAGCCCTGAAGGTCCTCAAAAAGGTATTAAGTAACAGCCTTGGACTTCAGTATCAAATTTGGCAATGTGTTAACAGTTGATGGATTTCCTCTGAGGCCAACTTACCCCCGTTTCATCGAAGCATTCCTGGATGGGGGAGCCTTTCCTCCAGGGGTGACTCAGTGACCAGCTCCTCCCGTGTGGCTCTGCTGTCTTCACCTCCTGGCTCCCAGAGTGGTCAGCTGACCTCCAACCAGAGAGGCATGTTCAAAGGTGTAGCTGCCTCTGTGAAGGAAGCAGTTTCTTCTTTTGACTGGCACTTTCTAGTCCTTTAAATGGAATCTCACTCTTCTAGCTGCTCTCTGGCAAACTAAGTGAAGCCTTGTCCATCGCCTGGAACACTACCTTGAAGAATTCTGTGAACATAGCCTTTGTCCATGAGGAAAAGAGAGAACTCTCAGCGAACGATGGTCTGGGGGTCTTGAAGGCGTCCAGGGCTCAAGCCATAGGTTCTTTATTATTATTATTATTATTATTATTCTTTGCCAAGTTGTGGTGCAGGGTGTAGGTAATAATAGTGGCCAATGAGTGGCGATGAAGTCTCTGCAGAAGATAGAACATCTGTGGGAAGGTGAGGGCAGGGGTGACTTTGGCCCAGAGTAGGGAGTGAGCAGCCAAAGAAGTCTGAGGAGGTCATGTGCACAGTGGGTGGGGGGATGGGGTTGGTGATCACTGAGCTAAGGTTGTCAGAGCCCAGTTGTGATAAAGAGGACATTTGAACAGCAGGTTCCATAGGAGGTCTATGTCAGGGGGAGGCAGACAGTTAGAAGCTTGGGCACAGGGAATGGACACCTGAGCAGGATAAGGAGGGTTCCAGTTAGGGAGCTGGTTGGTGGTAGTCCACAGCAAGATGTCAGGATCTGAGCAGACTGGATGGCATCTCTTGAGGGGGCGTGGGATGG